TCTCTTTAATTTCTGTTTCAACATTTTGCTCCTTTTTTGTATCTTCTTAGCTCCTTTTAGCTTATAGCTGTCATTCTGCTAACTGCTAACTAACCTTCTGATACTTTAACTTTTAGCTATTGTCAAAGTCAAAGTTTCTTTGTCATTCGAACCCCATGTGGTACATGTGGTTGAAGGAAATTGTGCACACAGGGTCCCAGTTACGTCCAACAAAAGTATAAAATGTGAAAGAAAAACAGTAATAAGATCTAAGACTATGAAAACCGCCAAACTAAAAATAGTCTAAGCACTAGTAGTACAGAAACAATACGACGAACAGCAGCAGCACGAACATGAGTCTGTGTGAGCAGATGAGGACGAATGAACACAGCAACATGAAATAAATCAGCAGCATGAGATCAGCAGCACAGATCAACAATCAAGTGACATTACAGAGATGTTTTTTTCACAGTGATTCTCCTCGTTAGAGATTCATGAGTCTAACAGCCTCAGGGTAGAAGCTGTTCCTCAGTCTAGTGGTTCTACACTTAATGCTCCTCAACCTCCTTCCTGAGGGGAGCAGGGCAAAAAGTGTGTGTGCTGGGTGAGTGGGGTCCTTCATGATGCAGGTGGCCCTCTTCCTGCATCTGGAGGTGTAGATGTTTGTGATGGTGGGGAGACTGACTCCAACATCTTCTGTGCAGACTTCACCACTCTGTTGTTCTGCTACTTTTAGCTTTTAGCTAACCTTTTTTAGTTTTTTTTTTTGGCTTTTAGCTACTATTCTGCTACTTTGTTCTTGTAACTAGTCTTTTGATACTTTAGTTTTTGCTACATGTCTGCTTTTTAACATTTGGCTGGCATTGTGCTGCTTTTTTATTTTAACTACATTCTGCTACTTTTAGCCACGAGACCTTTTGATACTTTTAGTCTTTAGCTAAAATTTTGTTACTTTTAGATTATTCTAGCCTTTTGATACTTTTAGCTTCCAGATACATTTTGATAGTTTTAGTTTGAGTTGTAGCTTGTTTTGTGTGGAAAGCGTCAGGCCTTTAGCTTGTTTCTTACCTGCTGTTTTAAAAGTGTTGATTTTTAAAACAACTCCAGTTTTCTAACTTTCATAGCAGCGCTTATTTAACCTCGGTACAAGCTAGCTGCTTTATGATGCTAACACCAGATGTAAATTCAGGGATTCGTTTGTGCACGTTTCATTAAATTCTGTCGCGTTGTTCACGAGATATTCTGGTAACAGGCAGGCACTTGAGCAGTCACACAGAAACAGGCAAAGACCGTCTTTTGCCCACCATCGTTTGGCGGTGGGCAATAACAAAAGTTCTGAGATCTGTAGCCTGGATAGATGAAAGAATAACAAACTTAAAAAAAAGGAAAAACTTTTCCACTGTGGATGAGATGAGAGGAAGCAGCTCGTAGTGATGGCCTCCTTTCAGCTGGAGCGGTGAACAATGCCTGGGCTCCTGCCAGAGCGCCTCGTGAGCCGACACCCCACCAACGCTCGCTGGCACATCAAGGAGCTGCTGGTAATTTCCAGCTCGGTTAATAATAGAAAAGGAAGCGATCTGATCCCAAACTCTGGTGTTGTCAGCAACAGCAGAGCTGCTCCCCATCTTTTCACATCAGCCCCCGCCCTGCAGGTTCAGCCTTGAGTTAATGTTGTTTCTCGCTGTACACGCACCACATAATCATTGTGAAACTCTGGGGGATTCACAGTCTACATGCTTCGTGGAACATTTAGAAAACACATCATTAAAACCATATTTTCTCTCAAGTAGAAAATCCGTATTTAGGGGATGTTCAAGCCGCCGCTGACGCCGACGTCTGTCATTTAGCTCTGGCTCGGCGACAAACACGAGGGCGCCAAGTAGGGCAACCTGCGTCACAAAGGATCTGATTGGCTTTGAGCACATTTCAGTCCAAGATAATAAGATGTATAAAAACAGTGCAGGCGCAAAGGAACGTGTAGATGACTCCTGGATCAGATGATGGTCGGTTTATTTTCACACGTTCGCCTCAGCTCACCTACTTTTCATTGCTCAAAGTGTGACTGAAATCAAACCATCATCAGTCTTATGATGACTGCCAGCAGGGTCAAGAGCTGCTGTGCTCTCGTGGCAGCACAGCGCCACCATCTGGACGTCTGAGAGCACACACCTGCCTGAGAACAAGAGCAGATCAGGAGTCACTGTGAGAAACTTGTCTACTACAGTTACAGTTTAAATTTGAGACATTATGGTTTTTAACTTTAAATATATTTTTTGGTTTTTTAAACAGTTTCTGCCAAGATTTTATATTTTAACAACATTAAAGTGTCTCTTCTCCAGTAAAACTCACATTTTGCAGCGAAGCTGAAGAATGCTGCTAAACTTGCATAGAGGAAAAGTTTTTAAGGCTTTAAATGTGAATAAAATTATTTTTGAATATATTTATCTTGTGAGAGAATAACTGCTTAATATGTCCCCTTTTCCTATAACCTTTGAATTTTTAAAGTTTCGGCAGAGAAACGTAATTTATAAACGTCTAAAGCAAATAATGGGATAAATGATGTGTGGTTAGACGTGGCACTGGTGGCTTTAGTGCAGGGGTCTGCAACCTGCGGCTCTGGAGCCACATGTGGCTCTTCGGTCCCGCTGCGGCGGCTCTTTCAAGTTTTGACCAAAACAAACACAAAACTGAATTTTATTGGTTGTTATACAAACAACAATAGTTTTAACTGTTTTCCTGTCGTTTCTTTTGCAAATACTCGCTTTAACTTTTTGCTTTATTTCTATACTAAATTATTTTTTCCACAATTAAAACAATTGCATAGGTCTGCATAGTTCATAGTTGTTTTTTTATTTAAAAAACTATTTTCTTCCTGCTTATGATAATCTGGTCTTTTCATTTGTCTTAAATTGTAAAAATGTCAATAAATGTTAAAAATCATTAGATATTTTTAGCTTTAAAATGTCGCCCCTACTGTCCTCAAAAGTCTTCAACAAACTGCAAGTGGCCCATGGGCCACCAGTTGATAACCACAGTTGTAGCAGGTTGTTGCAGCTCTGGACACATTTAATTTAGTGCACGAAGACATAAAAATGGCTCTTTTGATCGTAAACGTGGCAGACCCCTGCTTTGGTGGGAAAAGCGTCTCACAAAGCACCAGGTTTCACCTCATGTTTGTCAGCTGACTGGCTTCAATGCAGAGTGCAGTCTCTGGTTCATCAGTGTCCAAACACCGTGGCTTCTTTAACACAGACTCTAAACTCTAAAGTTTAGAGCTGCAGCAGCCCTTAGACTCTAAAGGCTCTAAACTTTAGA